CTCGTGATCTTCCAGCTTCAGGTACTCTTCTAGCGCACCCTTAGTCAGTTCCTTCTATTCCTTCCGCCTCCCCTATTAGGCTTGTTCTGCCTTCGTATTCGGATAATCATCTGACAAAGGTTCTTACGGATGTTGGTATATCGCTTCATCATAATGTTGGGTCTCCCACCTCCCTGCTTGCTTTAATTAGGGCCAATGAGGTGGCCTAGGCTGCGATCGCCAAAGCTAAAGAGATTGTGGCGGCTCCTCCTGCTCCTCCGGTTGTGGCTGGAGGGGTTTCGAGGGGGGGGGGAGGAATATGCTAGTTCTGCTACCCCCCAAGTCTCTAAGAAGAAGGGTGCCCCTAAACATGCTAAAACCTGCTTGGCACCCTGCAGGTCGAGCTTGCGCATTAAGAACTTGTCCTTCAAATGGAAGCACTTTTCTGTAATGTTAAAAGTTTCGGGGCTCGGAGGCGTCGGGACCAAATCAAAGACATCGTCAGGGGCTATAGTATTGATCTGATTGGTCTAGTTCAGACCTTTAAACCCTCCTTCTCTCCTCACGAACTTTTTGCAGTTGCGGGTGTCGATCGTTTTGACTGGAATTATCTTCCCTCATCGGGCCACTCGGGTGGTATTCTTATTGGCTCTAAACGTGACATTTTTTATTTTGTTACCTTCGACCATGGTATTTTTTGAGCTAGTTCTGTTGTGTTTCACCGCCAACTTAATACTCTCTAGGAAGTAATGGTAGTGTACGGTCCGGCGGATCATTCTCTTTCCCCCTTTTTCCTGGACGAAATTTCTAATAAGGTCGAATCCTACACCCTTCCCCTTCTAATTGGTGGTGATTTCAACCTGCTTCGATATCCGACCGATAAGAACACCAATAACTTTTCCTAGGCGCTGGCTGATGCTTTTAACGAGTTTATTAGCTCTTCTGCTCTTCGTGAAATGCCAAGGGTGGGATCTAGGTTTACTTGGACTAATCATCAGGTTTCTCCTATTCGCTCTATCTTGGATCATGTTTTGATCTGCCCAAGTTGGGACTCCCTTTTTCCGCTTGCCACTCTCAAAACTAAGGCTATCGTAGGATCGGACCATGCTCCACTTATTCTTGATGTGGGGCTTCACTGCGCGTCCACTCCCCCTTTGTCCTAGTTTGATGCTTCCTGGCTCCTTGTCGAAGGCTTTCGTGACCTCCTCGACTCTAGAATTTATGATCTCCTCTCGTCTGGCCGTCGCGCCTTCGGCCCCATGGATGATTGACACTATTGCTCGTACTCTCTGCGCAAATTTCTGCAGGGCTGGTCTCGTAATCACGCGGCACATGATCGCAGAGATAAATCCCTCCTCGTGGCTCAGATTGATGCTTTAGACTCTCGGGCTGATTCTTCTGGCTTATCTGATTCGGAATGGACTTTGCGCTTTTCCCTTGAGCAATCTCTGGTGCAGCTGCATCGTCTCGCGGAAGTTTACTGGCGCCACAGGGGCACGATAAACTGAATGCTTAAAGGATACTCCCCCACTGCTTATTTCCATTGCCAGTGGGAGGCGGCGTAGATGCTTGATTGACAGCTTATTGATCGATGGGGTCAGGGTTTCGGACCAAGGCATCATCATGAAGCACATAGTCGAATTCTTTTCCTCCCTCCTTTCTGCCAAACCTGATCAGGGGTTCAGGATATCTTCTTCCTTTTGGGACCAAGGGGACGGGGTGTCCCCGGAGGAAAACCTCGATCTTATGGTTCCTTTTTCTGAAGAGGAGATTTTTAATTCTATTAACAAAGCTAATTCTAATTCTGCATCCAGCCCGGATGGATTTTCTATTCCTTTCTTCAAAACTTTCTGGCCCCAACTCAAGAATCTCATTTGTGCGATTATTCAAGGGTTTTGTTTGGAGACGATGGACATTTCTAGGCTCGGTTATGGTTATTTCTCTCATTCCTAAGATTAAGGGTCCGGAGCTCATTTCTTAGTTTAGGCCTATTGCGCTTATCAATAACTTTGCCAAATTCCCCGCCAAATGCTTGGCCACGCGTCTTACTCCTGTGTCTCATCGTACCCTTTCTCCTACCCAATCTGCATTTGTCAAGGGGCGTTTTATCCTTGATGGGGTCCTATGTTTACATGAGATCGTCCATGATATTCACAAATCAGGCAGCAAGGCTGTTATTCTTAAACTGGATTTTGAAAAAGCTTATGATTCTATGAGTTGGGGCTTCTTAAGAAAAGTTTTGCTGGCTAATGGCTTTGATGGTGGTGTGGTTCATCGAATCATGCAGTTGGTCATGGGTGGCCATACTGCTATCTCTGTTAATGGGAAAGTTAGCAATTTTTTTTAAGAATTCTAGAGGCCTGAGACAAGGTGACCCGGCCTCTCCCATCCTTTCAATTTTGTGGCGGACACCCTCTCTAATATTCTATCTAGGGCTGCGGGGGCCGGCCACATTACTCCTGTTAGCTCCCATCTTATCCCTCAAGGGATTACCCACCTTCAGTATGCTGATGACACGATTATTATGGTGGAACTTAATGATCATTGCCTTGCCCACCTCAAATTTCTTCTGCTATGCTTCGAGGCCCTTTCTGGTCTTAAGATCAACTTCTCCAAAAGCAAAGTCATTGTTACTAGGGGCCTGGAAACCGAGGCGTTGCATGTTGCCCGCCTTCTGAATTTCTCCCTTGGCTCCTTCCCTCTCAAGTATCTGGGTCACCCTATTACGTCTGACGAACTCTTGGCTAAAGACTTTGCTCCTACGGTGGCCAAAGTTGGCAATCGTGTCATGCCCTGGAGGGGTAGATATAATACCCAGGCTGGTAAAGTTGCCTTGATTAATGCATGCCTTTCTTCCCTCCAAATGTTCCTTATGGGATTTTATCTTCTTACGATCGGCACTCATGCTGGGTTTGACAAACATAGAGGTGCCTTTTTCTGGAACGCGGCTGACAACAAACGCAAATATCGCATGATCAAATGGGACATTATTTGCAGACCAAAAAGCCTTGGGGGGCTGGGTATCATTAATACCCTTGTCATGAACAAATGCTTGATCATCAAGTGGTGGTGGAAGATCATGACCACCACCTCGGATAAACCTCTTTGGTTCAACATTCTCAAAGCTAAGTATTTCCCTTCCTCTAGCCCTATGTTTGCTCGTGCCTCGGGAGCTTCCCAGTTCTGGAAAGACCTTGTTAAACTTAGGCCTATTTTCTAAAGCCTCGTCAAGTTTGTTGTTCACAATGACGATCCACTAGATTTTGGCTTGATTGGTGGTGTGGCTCGACTACGTTGGCAAACTCTTTTCCTGTACTTTTTTCCTACTGTCCCGACCCTGAGATCTCAATCTTTGAGCTCTCTTCCAATAATTGGGATCTGCAACTTCGTCGCTCTCTTTCTCCTGAAGAGTTGGTTGACTGGCAGCGCCTTGTTGCCTTCTTCCATGTGCTCTCGAAGGAGGAGGACTCGGTGGTGTGGCCCCATTCCCCGTCTAGTCATTTTTCTGTGAAATCGCTTTATGGTAAGCTGATCTCGGGTTCAACCACTTCCAAATTCAAGTGGATCTGGAGGGCTCGTATTCCTCCTAAGATCAAGATCTTCCTCTGGCAAGCTTCTCGCGGGCGGTTGCCGACTGGTGACAGATCCGCAAACGTAATGGCCCTGGGTCTGACCGCTGCGTCCACTATGGGTTAAGAGAAGACACGATGCATGTTTTCTTTTCTTGTGCTCTGGCTAAACTCTTCTGGTGTTGTATCAGATCTTGGTTGAATGTAGCCTGGAGGCCGTCCTCCTTCTCAGACCTTCGACTTTTGGCTAACAATCTGGTTGGGGCCCAAAGGAGAATTTTTTGGGTGGGCTTTGCAGCGATGTGCTGGTCTCTTTGGACGACAAGAAACAAATTTACTATTGAACATGTTTTTCCTGCTAAGCCTGCTGATTGCTTATTTAAAACTTGCCTATTCTTGCAGCAGTGGAGATTATTGATTGAGGAGGACATGGATACGCTCGATATGATGATATCCAAGATCCAGGCTTCTGCTATCTCCCTTTCTCCAGTTCATGCCGGCAATTAGGTGTTGCTGGCCCCTAATGTTGCTGTCCTTAGTCTCTCCGGCCTGCGTGCCGTGTACTGGCCCGGGAGCCATGTACATTCTACTTTTGCCTGTGAGGTCTGGTTGATACTCTGCGTGCTTTGTGTGGTGTCCGCTGTCGATGTTTATGACTCTGCATGGTGGCTTTATTTATAAAGTCGGGCTCTGACCTTTTATCTAAAAAAAGACGACATGGAGCATATCAACGGTTTGCATGAATCCTAAAGACAAACGATCCAACGATGAAAGACTTAGATGCGAGGTAGTTATATCTCATCTAGATGTGACTTAATCAAATTGTTTGTTTTAATAGATAGATTACCGTAGAAAAATGGTTGTACGGTCGTTGCTTCAATTTTTTTAAATAAATCAGGTCATGGTGCATGGCTTCATTGAAAATGGGTTTAGTATCTGAGATTCTGAGTTACTCACGGCCGGTGCCGCGCAACTGGTTGGCACGTGGATACCACTCCACCGAACAGCATGGTACATGTACAGGACTCTAATCACAGGGGAAGAAAGTTGCTCGGCAAGCCCATGAGGGACGGACTAGGCAAAACCATGCAAGGCTCGCAAAGCTCGTGAGCACCCCCACGTTCTTCAGCTCAGGGCCGGCGTCGTCGCGTTTGCTTGGAATGGCAATGCAGCAGAGCACCACTCAGCGTAACTGTCGTGCTGAGCGATTGACAAGATGCTCAGCAATAATCATTTGCACACGGATAAACACAGCCAGGTTTAGACTCCACTCTCTAGTTACTCACGCTCCTGCTAGTACCATCGGCAGTGGACTACCGAGAATTAAGGTCTTACAATCATTGTTAAGCAAGCATAATAACGCACTGAGTCGTGCCGGCCGATGGCCACGGACGAGGCTACGCCGGCCAACCAGGCTGGTGCAACGGGAGGCCGGCTGCCACCGCCCTCGCCTCAGACCAGGAAGCTGCCGTCTCGCCTCCTCACCTCCACCTTGAGTAGGTGGTCCTCGCCGCCGTCGCCGGCGCTGCCTTGCCGGAGCGCTCGGAAGAAGCAGGTGTCGCCCTCGCCGAGGGCGTTGTCGACGCAGAACTGGTGCCACCCGTACCTAAACGACGCGCGGGACCTGCCACCCGTCTTGGGGTTGTGCTTCAGGTGCACGAGCCACGACTTGCCGCGCATCCGCAGCTCCACCTTGCTCCTCTCGGCGTACCCGTGCGCGAGCTGGAAATCCACCGGCACGTTCTGCGCACGGCCGGCGAGCAGCGGATGGAATCAGTACCCAGATAGCACCTCATGGATACATGTATATGAACACACTTGACTAGGCATGCTCGAGCATGAACGCACTCACCAGGTACTGTTCCTGCTTCATGCCTAGGTTGCATTTCCTCAGCATGGCGCTGAACTGCCCCGTCGGCCCATCCTCGACGTCCATCTCCACCAGGCTCCTGTTGTTGCCACCACTGCCGCCGTCGCTGGTGTTGCTGCTCCCACTGTCACCGTCGCTGCTGCTCTCACTGCCTGGCCAAATGCAAAAACCACACCTTCTTTAATTCCTACAAGTTACAACTTACAACCACCCAACTGAAACGAAGAGCAAGAACCAAGAAGAGGCGCGTACTGGTGTCACCGTCGTGCTTGTAGTGCCTGCGGCACATGCTCACGTCGAACACCTTGACGGTGAGCACGGCGTCGCCGTCGTAGCTGAACACGAGGAAGTACCCGAGCCGCAGGTCGTGCGCACGGGCGAACTGCTCCCAGCCGCGCTCTAGGTACATGTGGCCGTCGGCGTCCAACACCACCTTCACGTCCCAGAAGCGACGCCCATGGCCGGCCTCCCGCAGCTTCACTTCCTGGGGCTTGCCGCCGTCTAGTAGCACCATGGTAAACTTGTCAGGCAGCCTCTGCAGCGAGGGTCAAGCAGTGATTGAGCCGATCAAACACTAGGCAGCACAGCAGAGCGATAAAGAGAGATCATGTATATACCAGCCTGCTCGAGGAGTTGTCAAGTACGATCTGGAAGAACTCGAAACCTTCCATCTCACCTGTCTCTGCATGCATGAATAGATAGCTTAGATGCAAGGATTCGAATCGAAATTGCAAGAAATATCTAGGACACGAGCAACACAACAGGCTGAGAATTGGGGAAGAACAGAGGTGGTGTTTCGAAGAACAGATGGATTTGCCTGGTCGAAGCGGCGTGGCAGAGAGCAGCCGGCGGTGGCGACCTCCCCCCTATCGACAGCGGCTGGCTGCGAGGGCGGAGAGGCTGCTGCTTGCGAAGAAGGAAGAGCAAGAGGCAGAGGTAGGAAGAGGAAGAAGAAAGAACCAACTATGCCATGAATTCCATGCCACGTAGCAAAACCCTCTTCTTCCTCCTTCCTCCTCCTTCATCTGCCTCTCCTCTCAAATGTGCAGCGGTGATATATACTAAGCTTTGCTTCTCTGGATTCCTCCTCCAGGATAGACTTCTTGACCCCTCCACCGAGAAATGCAGATGTGAGAAAGGGCCGGACGGCAATGGGCTCGCACATGCCGCACTGCTATGGGCTCGGGCAGAGAAAGGGACGGGAGGCAATAAATCATTGCACCGATCTGGTCTCTTTTCACGTAAATAGGCAGCACCCATTTTTCTCCCATTCTTGGCTCAACGATGGCGGTGGGGATGCCGGTGTAATGGCAGTGGCAGCGTGCCTACTGTGCATATATTGATAGTGATAGGATATTATTTTGACCCCTCTTATGGTCAAAGCAGTGTCAAGCTATTGCGGTGATGATCAACAGCTGCTTATACCCTAATTTTTGTGTGTTTATGATCTTCTGACTTCTATGCACAGAAAACTGGTCTGCTCCTTCCCGTTTTTTCTCTCGATCCCTGGATACTGCAGCCTGTCGTTTTGGGCACTGCAGCATGCACTTTAATCTGTTCTCTGCTCCTGAATTTTGAGCAAATGACGGTGTAGTCCATTCTTTTTTGTTTTAGGGGAATCGAGTTGTAGTACATATATATGTTTCTTCACATGCATTGTTAGGAGAGGCCCATGGCTCATGTTTCGAGAGGAAGATTGATGACTTATCACTTGCAAGTGATACTGTCCTACTGGCGGTGTGCTAGCCAGCTCTGCTCATTTTCACTGCTCGGGATAGAATATGGCATGCATCATTTTTCCTTTTTCAAACAAAATGGCAAGCGCCATAATTGCAGAACAGAGGAATCAGCAAATTAGCAATCGCAGCCCCATCCCACGGGCCAAAGTTTGATGAGTTGCACGGCGGCCCTCCAGTAATTCAGCCGAGGCTTGCCCCCCTCTGCAAGCTCTACTAGAGGGTAGAGG